GTACAGCCACCACAGCGTTACCCAATGCAACTCCACACTACGTCTTACGGTGCCGTGTACCGGAGGGGAGAGAGGGAGAGAGCAGCAAAGCACAATACTGCACCATGATTACAAATGGTGAAATGCAATGTAAAACTACCGAAAAATACCAGCTCCTTAAAACACAACCGCTCTACTCAACGCAACTCCACTATACCCGCGGTCAGAGAGCGGAGATGTGTCCCCTGTGTGATGTAATATGACGCGTTTGACGTATGACCTTAAAAAAAAGCCGTTTTTAAAAGCAGAGCTCAAAATTGCTCCTTTCCCTCTGAATTCCTGCCCTTATGTCTCGTAAAACATATCAAATCCTGCATTCACTTTTTTAATTGTAATTTTCAAGCAAGTTTAAGCATAAATGTAGAAAAAATAAAAACCTGCAAGATGCTCTTTAAACCCTGCTTTCACAAAAGTCCCATCCCTGATCGTGTCTGCACTGACGAGCTTCTTTTCTATAGCAGAGCTACAGAAGAAGCATTATCACTTTCTCTTATATAGTGAAGCTTTTTATAGACTGCCCGTGCTTACACTAAAATGCCAACTCAAAAAGAGTAACTCAAAATAAAACTTTTGTATTGATTTGTTTAGTGAACTTTTTGGCGTTGCAGTTACAACTCTCCGCCAACAGATGGCACCCCCCCTTCCCGCGTCCCTGTTCAAATGTACATCTTTTATGAATAGAATAGGAAAACTATAGGGAAATGTACAAGCAAATCCTTGCCTCATACAGGTGTTGAGCTGCCAGTTTCTAAATAAATGTTATTTATTTGTGAGGCTGTGGGCTGGTCTTGTGGGAAGATGAAATCACAACGGAGAGACTGTCAATCCCTCACACTGACAGGGTGAAATGTCCTCTCTGGAGTCGGATGCCGTTACATTCACACCCCTCTTCAGCGGTGACATGTGTTAAACTTCTTCTCACCTGTACTCCCTGTGGTCTCTTCCCTGCTGTCCGTCAGATCTACTGCTGCGCCGGCTTCCTGTCGCTCACCGGCCAGCTGCACCAGGTGAACGCTGACCTGCTGGGCTGGTGGCTCTGCGAGAGGCAGCTGCCGTCTGGAGGCCTGAACGGACGCCCGGAGAAGGTCTGTGCTCTCCAGAGGATGTGCGGGGAAATCAAGGGGCTTCTTGTCATTGTTTAACCTTAACTTAAATCAGGAAAGAATGATTACTGAAGCAGTTCTGCTGCTCCTATTCTTATTTCTTCTCTATCTGGAAATGATTTTGATTAGTTGTGAGTTCCACTGGACAAAGGTTTATTCACACTGGAAGAGTTTAACAGAGATTTCCTGGCTGCCATTATGATATACTTATATGGCTGAGTCTAACAAAACTATTTAGCTCCACAGATTTAAATGTGCTATATGTGTTCATTGTATGATTACACGCCTTAACTTTGAAACAATGCCAGCATGAGGGGGGAAAAAATGACTGTCTCCCCCACTCCGCCCCCACTTGCTCCGTGAATGTGTGTGTATGTGCTCAGATGAGTGTGTGGACTGCTGAGTAGAGAGCGGAGAGTGGCCTTCACTGTTTGCCAAATATTAGCAAAACATTTGATGATGAATCACATGAAGTATTGAATGGATCTCACAGACAAGGCATCTCCTCATTAGATGGGGAAACTTTGAAAAGCTCAGACGGCAGCATATTGACCACCAGGTTTGGGCTTTCTCAGCCAAAGTCTCTGTTCGGTGTTGCGTGCCCCTGCAATCCCATATATTTCTCCTTGTTCCTACTGACTGCTCCAAGTGCAACATATATCTACTCATTTAAATGAGCAAAAGTAATTCTGTTAACTTGTAAAAATAAAATAATATATGTACATTTGTTTATATCCAAATCATAAGGAAGCTGGGATCTAGCTTGCTCGCACAGTACTGACACAGCTCTGGTTTTCTTTGTGTCATTCAGCTTCCGGATGTGTGCTACTCGTGGTGGGTTTTAGCGTCTCTGAAAATCATTGGTAGGATCCACTGGATCGACAAGGCCAAGCTGCGCTCGTTTATTCTGGCCTGTCAGGACGAGGAGACCGGAGGCTTTGCCGACAGACCGGGAGACATGGTGAGCCGTCACACATGAGTAACTCCTGCATGCTGTGATGGAAAGAGGAAGACCTGTGTTTTCCCCAAATCCTGTCTGCTGTTTCATTTCATTTCATTTCAAACCTTTATTTATGCAGGTGAATCCCATTGAGATCATTAATCTCTTTTTCAAGGGTGACCTGCTGCAAGTAGGTTCCACATGAATACTTATAAACATAACAGAAAAACAAAAAGGATATCATACAGCATAAAAAATAAATAATACAGTTTCAACTCGTCTAACCCTGTCTGCACTTCCATGATCCCTTCCTTTGTCCCTCTACCTTATATATCTTTTGAACCGGTTAAAAGGTATGAGATAAAGAGATCTTGAGGTAGATGGCAATGGACTTAAGTACTGGAGGGTTTTAGATAAGATCAGACTCTACTTTTTGCACAGTTCAGGCACAGAGACAACCTACGTAATCCTGTTAAGCATTTACCCAGAGGTGCATTTGAGCATATTGAAGATGGAATCAAAAAGCTATTATAATAGTAATAATAGGAAAAAGTACTGGAAAACAATAATACTAAAATATAATAGAAACATTGTTACGATTATTATTATGTAAATAAAATGATGTAGATAATGTCCATAAACCATTCTTAATACATAGCCTAGCTAAATAAGTAAGTTTGCAGCTCCTTTTTGCTTATTATATATTCCTCTTAAATGTGAATTGTCATGCCTCTTCCCTGCAGGTGGATCCTTTCCACACTCTGTTTGGAATCGCAGGTCTCTCTCTTCTCGGGGACGAGCAGATAAAGCCGGTGAATCCGGTTCTGTGCATGCCGGAGGACGTCCTGCAGAGGGTCCGCCTGCAGCCCGACATCCTCAGCTAGCCCACGACACCATCACAACAACACACACACACACACACACACACACACACACACACACACACACACACACACACACAGCTACACACCCAGAGAGAGAGAGGACCGCTGCACATCTTAGTGTTAACTGAAGTTCACAGACACATTCAGATGCAGGTTTCACCAAGGACAAAGAGAGTCTGTCTTCACACCCTCACAACTTATGTTATCATGTCACTTTTGTCGGTTTTACTGCAAGAGAACAGTTTGGAAAAGACCATCAGTGCTAAACTCCAGAAACCATTAGAAAACATTCCTTAGATTTCCGACTTACTCTGTCTGAGGGGAAACATGTGACCGTTAGCGAACTGGAATATTCTCATAGCTCTCATTGGCCAGAGACAGAGGCACTGATTATGTGCATTAACCAAATGATAAGGGTAGATTATTTTTGACAGATTAAGACACTTGACTGGTTCTGCCTTTCTTATGCATCGACTGTGTCAAATAAATTGTCATTGAAAAGTAAAAGTATGTCAAGGTAAAACTATCCTTGTCCTGTTTAAACTAGAGCAAATGTACCACCCCTTTGCTTCCATCTCTTACAATTGGAGAAGCAACATATGACATGTTGTGAACAAGTTAGTTAACTTCAGTTTACAGTACTAACAGGAATAGTTTTTTGCATAGATTTGAAGAAGACGTAATCTTTTGTCCCTAGAGGTATACAACATGGCCACCTCTTTGTCTCTTGCCAAGCACAATTAAAGTCTTATCCACAATCTTAGCTACACTATTTATTTAAACCTGTGTTACTCAACCCAGATGTGTGATGCAGCTGTGGGCAGAGAGTTAAGCCCCCAAACTTAAAACATGAAATAAATGTCCGTCTCAAATGTTGATGATGTTTAAGCTTCTTCTTAAGTCCCCCCCCCTTTTCAGTAATAACTGATTGTCATATTGCTGCACTCTTGTTGTCTTTCTCTTATCTGTTGTAAGCTAACTGTTCAGTGTTGACATTGTTACAGAGAGTCACTAAATCACTCATTGAACTCATTAGTGTGTCCCCAATTGAAATGACAAACTGATAAATGTTCATATTGACATTGTTATGCCAAGTTAATGCTGTGTCATTACTCAAACAAATCCCTTTTATTATTATCATCCGGTTTATATCACAATTATAAAGAAATTGTTTGATTCAAAAAGTCAACATTTTAGGGTAAGCTTCTATTTCTCATCTGTGTTGTGGGGGCAGCTCTAATCCAAAAAGCTGCTTACTGTCTGTGTGTATATTCATGTAACTTATTTGTTATTTTGGTTGGCAATAAATGTAGGATAACTCCATCAACTCTGATTCAGTATGTTTGTGCACTAAATGGGAATAGGGATATTTTTAATATTCATCTCTCAGTATATTGGACAAATTGGGTAATTATCTAACCCAGTTTATTTTAGTCACTGGATATCACTCACTGTGATAAAGGACAAATTGGATACACATTTAAACATTCACTTCACATATTCGACAAAGAAATAAAACTACATCTTTAAAATAAAAACATGACGAAGTAAAGAAAACAAAAACAAAGAAACACTCATTTTAAAATGACTCATCACCTTGACTTCCAAAAATTCGGAAAATAAATCACTTTTTTTTTGCAAATATTCCAGCCCTTCCTTTGTAAATCAGTCTATCCGATACATACAATACATCTCCTTCAACACTACATGTATAGTAGGTATATCCATGTTTTCTCTAAGATCAAGCTAATATCCTATTGGCTTGCAGGAATCCAAAGTCGTTTTAATTTGTAACAACTAGCTATAAAGTTATGTGAAATGTACCTAATAGTACACACATTTCTACTCTATTCGGCACCTTCCAGCCAACACATCTTTGTCTAAATTGTTTAACAGTATTTGTTTTTGATATTTCAGTTTTATTGCATAATATTAAATAAATCATTATAATAAAATCTGAGGTAAGTGGCTGATAATAGTTTTAAAATTGAGTTTTAATCGGTTTACACGCTGTCAGTGTCAAGTGCTTCCAGAGTGTGGGAAAACAACAATAACCATGCTCAGAGCTGATTGGCTGTTGCTAACGGCTGGCCCCACCATGACCGATATGGATTATCTTCTACAGCTGACATCGAAATTTAGATCAAATGTAAGTCAAATATCTAAGGAATGTTGTTTTAACCAAACTTCAATGAGACTTTAGCGGTTTGCCATGAAAAGTGGCTAACGTTAACTGCGGCTAGATTGTCAGAGAGACCTCTGTTAGCTTCGTGTTTTATGGTTAGTGGTCAAAAACAAGCTTTTAGGATATCAGGCATTATTCTGAGAGGATAAACAAACATGGAACAAGACTCACAAGAGGACATCAAGATAACATTTGGACGAACATGACGTTAACAAAACTGACACCGCTCCGAAGCAATTTAACAAGTTGAGGTAAGTGCTCAGTCTGGATATCCCTTTTGTTAAACTTTGATGTTTTTCAACCAACATTTTTGTTTTGTTGGTGTTGCATCTGTCCAAAGTTGCCCCATTTTTTCCCACATTAAATACCACTCTGTTTCTATTATGGGCACGTTTGCGTTTCAGTATTTGTGGCTTGTTTGAGTAAAGCCACTAGATGGCGGTCTTACCATTCAACATCTTTACTGAATGTTCAAAATGCATTTATGTTGATGCGACTAATGTACAATTGAGAAAACTCCTGGTGAGTAATTTGCCAGATGATGGGTTGTTTGTGATTTGATTGCAAGCAAATATATAATAATCACAGGTTACATTATCTGACTTTGTACCAATACTGTGAGATGTGGATCAGTAAAGCTCTATGGAAACTTGGAGTTATCTGTAACCATACTTTGGTCACTTGAAGCACTTTCTCATGCATTTTACATCCTACTTCAAAGCCATATTGAGGCTTTAGTAACAATGCTGGCAGCCCAGACTGTTGGAGAAATGATGTCTCATAGCAGTGGCAGATTGTAATAATAGAGTGTAAAGATTGATGCTCTCAATTAGAGGAAGGTAATTGTTCCCTCCTACATGTTTTCTTCCTTGTATAAAAGATCACCACTTCCCCTGCAATGGACAGACTGATAAGAAAGAAGACGCTTTACCTGATGCAACCATTACTAACAATGGCTTTTGTTTAAAAAATAATGGCTAAAAAGTCTGACTAATGATCAAGTGATAACAGAAACTATGAGGAACATTTTTATCTCCATGCACTAATTACTCTACATGACTGTGAAAGGCACAGTTTTAATATTCTGATGCGCCTCTGGATTCCTTCTCAGGGGTGGTTTTGCAACTTTAATTATGGGTGGGGATGTGGTTGTAAGGGGTATTTTTGTAGTTTATGTGCCTTCAGTTGATTGACTTTCAAACAAGAAAAGTTTAAACAGTCATTTCATAGACTCAAATCCCATGGGTCTGTTTCTTCTGTCTTGTTTCAATTTACTTCACATTCATGGTTTTACATAGCACCAGTATGTACGACAGGTAATTCATTTAGCATTGTGCACACCCAGGGCCGTCCCTGGCCAACTTGAGGCCCCATGCAAAGTTAGATGATGAGGCCCTCTGTTTCGCGAGCGTCGTCGTCGTCGACGGGTGCTAGTGGAGCCTCGCAGCGGTGAAACCGTGCCGCGCCACACACTAATTGTGCCGCATAAACATAGGTGCGCCGCATTTGCGGCTCAGTTGAGGCTCCCTCCGCAAGATGAGGCCCCCTCCGCGAGTTAAGGCCCCACGCAGTCTGCGTGATCTCCCTAGGGATGGACGGCCCTGTGCACACCGCAAAACAAAACTGAAGTACATTTGATAACCATTTTACAGCTTGGCTCTTTCAAAGGTTTCTTTCATGACATAATCTTTAATTATTTACAATTGAACATGGGAGGTTTTACCCTATTATTAAAAAACATTTACGGCCCGTCCACACCAGCGTGCGTTGAAGCTTCAACGCAGCTTCCCATTCATTTTTAATGGGGTGACGTCAGGCTTTGCCGAACTGCATTGTGGTTCCGTCGCTTCGCATTGCCGTTGTTCGCTTCGAAAGTTGAGAAAAGTTCAACTTTTCAAGCATCGACGGAAGCGCCAGCCAATCAAATCATATGCTAGTACAAGCTCTAGCCAATCAAACCGCGTGCTTGTGTGTCCGGGGTGGGAGATTCATGTGATTGGTTGTTGGTCGCGCTCCAGACACGCCCACCGGCAAACTTCAACGCACGCTGCCGTGTGGACGACGTACTTTCAACTTTTTAACGTCTCCTTCGAGTGAATTGCATTGTTTTGCATCTCTGTGATCAAACTGAATCTCTTTGTGGTTGTTTTACATCTCATGAAAATGTTGTGACTCTTAAATGTCTTAAATGATCATCTCAGTTATGTTGCCTTAATTTGTGGTTGTTTTGTGTCTTTTTGGCTTGTTTTGCACCAACCTCCTTATCATCATCGTATTTCTGTTGGTGGTTGATTTATTGTATTTGTTTGGATTGATATTCCAACAAGAAATGTCAATTCTCATTTCACACGGAGTCCCGGGGTCTGTATCCTTGTGGTTTGTTTTGTGTCTCTTTATAGTTTATTTGCACTGTTCTGTACTCATTGTGTATCTCCTTTTGTTCTGCCTGTCTGTTTGTAGTTTATTTACCAACTAAATGAACGCATACGAGGCCCTGCACCCAGTAGGCCCTGCACTCAGTAGGCCCTGCACTCAGTACGCCCTGCACCCAGTAGGCCCTGAACCCAGTAGGCCCTGCACTCAGTAGGCCCTGCACCCAGTAGACCTGTTCAGTTATCCATCCCTGTTATTAACAAACCAACCATCATCTGCCTCTGGAACGAGAAGGCATTATTTAGGGGCTGGATCAGACTCCAGGGAGGGGTCCATGCCCTGCTTCGGTTCCAGCTGAATGCACATTTCATCATGTGATATTCTCAGTGCATTGCAAACTGCAAACACTATAAAGAATATGCTGGCAGCCCTGTGAGTTTTAGATTCTCTCTGTTTAGGCGACGGGGGAGCAGTAATCTGTGGCCCCCTGGTGTCTGGGCAGAGACAAACAGGCTGGTTGCTAAGACCATGAAACCCCACCGACTCTCATTAGTGAGGAAGAGGGAGATGAAGAGGAGACAGAAGGTGGGAGAGATGGGTAAAGAAAGGTGTGAATGGGAGATAGAGACAGAGATTTAGGAATATATGGACGGATCAAAGCTTTTCACTCTCAGTCTTGTTTTGTTTGCGAGGAAAATCCGCAACCCATTTTCCTCCTTCTCTTCTTCTCAGTCTCCCTCTTGTTATCTCTCCGCACAAAATACTGAGGATTAGTCCAGGCCACGGGGGCTGCAGCCAAATGCTGCTGAACCACAGGCACAGCAGATAATCACTTCATAAATGTTTAATTAAACCGCTGCAGTTTTATTTGAATGTGTACGTGGATGACTCACAAGTTTGGTAGGAAATGAAATGGTTTTTAAAACGGCTCCGAAAGAGATTTGTGTTGCATTGTTCACCCAGTCTGGGGTTATTATTACTGAACTAGACTGACATATTACACTTATTTGCCCAGCTCTGGGGAAGTCTGATTTAAAACTAAATATAACTAAACTCGACTAAACTCGACCAAACTGGACTAAACTGGTCTTTTGTTTGCAAACATTTTGTTTCAAGTGAATTTATAATTGACTTTTTGGCACTCTGGAGTTTTTCACATAGATAAACAAAAACAATTAATGATATCTGATGATTTGAGGCTCCTTTAACGGCATTAACACATTGTTATAATCACTAGGAGGCAGTAAAGCACAGTGCATAGTCATGGTTACATTGATCAGTTGTGTTGTAGTAGATTCTGTCAAAAGACATAATAAAATGACCTTTAAGCCTCAAATGGCGAAATTAACGAACAATATGAACATGAATGAAGCTTGTGTTTTAAAACGAACCATTACACATATTGACAAATGTACACAGTGTAGCCTACTGTACAAGTATATAGTATTTCAGTGTATGGTTCTTTTCAGTGGCAGTAGAGACACATCTGTGACATTGAATGGATATAATTCATGGTGGTGAGCCTTCTTGGAAGCAGAGGGGGAACACGGGACAGCAGCTTATCCTGTGGCTGCAGGCGATCGGATGCTAGCGTACATCCTCTGTACAGAGAGGCTGAAGTGCTCCAGTAGTGTGAGAGTGAGGCATTAGTTACTCTTTATTCAAGTCACAGCAAACGTATACCTGTTATAGGAAGCAACTATAGATTACCACTTAATGTTGAATAGTTTGTGAACAGCGTATCAAAAAGTTAGCGACACAGGAGTCAA